GGGAGGCCTCTGTGTTAGCCACAAGTGCCAGACAGAATACAATACAGAACCCTAAAAACTTTTCTGATATGCACTAGCAAATATCGTCCCTCTGCTTTTATCCTACAGTCAAAACCCCAATTTCACTAAATTCAGTGGCAAAACAGATGTTTGCTTCAAAAGGTCCAGAACTCTGGGAACTTGATCGGTTCTCTAGATTCAGCAAAAACATCTGGATTTCTCACTTGTTCCTGCCCCAAGAGAAGGACCAAGCTCCCTACGTACATGATGCTGATACCTCAGCGTTACGACTCTCTTCTTTCAGGCCCAGACATAGTTGGTTGAAGGTGATTTTTCCAGGGACCAGCAGAGCTCTTCTTTATAAGAACTGTGGAGAAAGAAATAAAAGGAACAAAGTATCAGTTGCTTTTCAGACTTTTCAGAAGAATGTGTTGCAACAGCAAATCCTTATTCAGACTGTAAGCACCACGCTGTACAGTGCTGCCACCAAGCTGCATCTTGTGTATATTACCTTAAGTGTCACTATCGCTGGTGAGAAATTGTCTGGAACGATGAACGCCTGCAGTGCTGTCCGAGTCATTTCACGAGGGGCAATTTTTGAAGGAAGAGGACCGTAGCATCTCCTCTAAGTGCTGAGTGCCTCCCAGGAGACACTACCACGAATAAAACATCAGCCTTGCCCTGCTGGGCCAGAAAATAGCATCACACGTGGAAGAGCAATGTCTCCACCGTGATGCAGAAGGCCCCTTTACCCCGAGACTCGGGTGGGCAACAGGTTTTAGCATAGGCCGGGGAGCGCGGTGTTCTGTGCACACCTGGTGTGAGCTGTTTAAAGACAATTCTGCTGTCACGGTGCTACCGTCCCCGTCAGTGCGGATGGAGCAGCGCACGCACTGACACCGCCCGTCCCCAATGCCCTCAAATGCAGCCGAGAGGCTCAGTCCCCGGCTGCCACGGGTTTGTCCCCACAGCAGCACGGCTCACCTCCGGCTCTGCGCTGCCGCAGACCCGACACCCGTTCACCGCCGA